CTGGGATCTCCGGGGCAGGGCCAGTTCTCAGCAGGACTCCCTGCCTGCCTGTGGCCCGGCTCCCCCCTCAGTGGCCGCCCCGTGTAATTTGACACTTGGATCTCCTGGACGACCAACAACAAAAAAGCTGAAGCCCAGATAGCAGCTGGCTGTCAGCACCGGCAGAGCGGCTCGCTGGCTCGCGGAGAAGAGGCATCCAGGGAGCAGCCCCGGGTCACCCAAGAGGCGTCTGACAAGCGAGGCGAGGTGGCGGGGGGCCGAGGACAGGCCCTCGGAGAAGAGGCCGGGGCTGCCTGGCTCCCCAGCACCTGCGGTGGCACCCGCAGCGCCAGCACCTGATCCCAGGTGAGTGGCCTCGGCTGAGAGGGGGTGGGGATGAAGGGAATGGAGCAGCAAGGTCCCCGCCCCTCCCATGGGGGGCGCACTGGGTCACAGTCTGCCGACGGCCTCCAGTTCCAACCTGGGCTCTCCCTGCTTGCAGTCTCCCCGCACGGGGGACGCGGGGGGCTGCAGCCTCCTGGAGGGTGGCTTCCTGCCTGCTTGCTGAGCAGGCGGAGGGGCCAGGGTGCCTGCCTCCTCTGCAAATTAGTTTAAGCTTTTTCCATTCAGGGGCTTACACGAGGGGTTTGGCTGCCGGGCTTGGGAGAGGAATGTCGCCTGCCCACTGAGCCTCCCTTTCCCAGGACCAAGGCAGTGCCTCCCTGGCCTGCTCTTCCCAGCCCTGGAGGCTCAGGGCAAGGTCCACCCCGCCATGTGGCAGGACCCACGCAGCTCTGCCTATCCGTGTGTCAGACCGGAGCCGCCGCTGCCACCTCTCATGGGGGCTTGGCCTGCTGACCACCAGGTGTCCTCAGCCCGGGGCTCCGCTCATGTGCCCCTCCCGGGGCCCATTGAGAGCCCCACGGGCCCCTGAATCTACCTAAATGCTGCCCCAGGCGTGAGAGGACCAGTCTCCCAACCCGGGCCAGGTGGGGAGAAGGTGAGGACGGTGGGACTGAGGTTGTGGGGGGGAGAGGGGGCCCCTAGTGTCTGCCCCTCTGCTGCACCAGGGAACACTGTGCCCAAGCCCGTCCTCCAGGCAGCATGGAGCGTGGCCCTGCCCAGGAGGCTGACTCCTGCTTCCCTGGCCTCAGCCAGGGTTAAAGTCTCCCCCTGGCCCTCCAGATGCTTCCCCAAAGCAAACAAGGCAGTGTCTACTTAGAAACGTGGCCTACGGCTAAGACTACGGGGGGGGGGCCCCCCGCGGGGGTTGGGGGGGTGCCAAGGATCAGCCCAAGTGTGGGCTTTGGCCTGGCTGGTGGCTGGGGAGACTACAGGTCCTACAGCGAAGGGCAGAAGAGACAAGACGCTGAGCTGTGTTAGAGGCAGCGGGTAAGGTTGGGGAGGGAGGGACCAGTGTCTACTTCCCACTGCCAGACGGAGCCGAGACAAAAAGGGGTGTCATGGGGCGGCTCCCCACGGCACACAGGGGCACCTCTGCCCTGCTGGCCACACAGACCTCCCACACGTTCAGGTTATTATTCATTCTAGCTCTTTCTCCAATAAGACAATGCCCCGGGCAAGGTGGCTACAACCCCTGACAGAGTAACAGGCGCTGAGCCAGAAGCCCTGGGGGCCCTGCGCCATCAAGGACGGCACTTATCAGTCACAAACACGCCCGCCCGCTTCCCCTGGGAGCTGGAGTGTCAGCTTTGCGAGGAGGAAACAGGGAAGCTTGTGTCCCGAGTGGCAGGTGTCTGGATGCCTGGCCACTCTGTGGCAAGGTTGTCTGTTCCAAATGACACACAAAGGAATGTTTCCCGGTCCGTCCAGCTCGGCCAGCCTTGCTCTCTGCCCTGCTCACTTTCCCCTCCGCCGGCGGCCGCTCCCCTGGGGAGCACCCTGGGAAGGTCCAAGAAGGCCAAGCCTTGCTCTGGCTGCTTCTAACTGCCGCTCCCCTCCCCCGTCCCGCCCTCCCCCCAGCATGGGTTGGGAGGGACTCTGGTCCTCTGGTTCATAGGCAGAAGGTAGTTTTAGAGTTTGCTGGACCTGAGACAGATCAGAAAAACGGAGAATTCTCAGTAGCCCCACTAGACTTGCCTGCCCCCCTCCCTCCGACCTGGGAAGGTACCGGGAGGAGAGGCAGCCAGCCCAGAGCACCCCCTCTCCCCAGGCCACAGCTGGAAACTCAGTAGGGCTCCCTACAGAGCAACAGCTGGGGCACCAGCCCGCGGTCACCTGACGGCTGCTGGCTATATTGGGCACCAGGCACAGGCGCCCCCTTGGCCTGGGCTTTAAATAGCCCACTGGGAGGCCCGCCTGGGACCTCCTGGAATGTGCCGCCTCCCTCTCAGGAAAGAGGCCCCTCCAGCGCCCCGGTGGTCCCCACTGAGCTCCTGCTCAAGCCCAAGCTGGAGATGACAAAGCCGCATCGGAAAAGTCAGGGGCTCCTATCGGTCTTATCGGTCTTGAGGCCAGAAGAGCCGCATCCAGCAGCCCCACTCCTGTTCCGGGCACAGATGGGACCCAGGGAGCAGCCCCGACTGGGCGAGGCTGGCCAGCTCTGGGCTCCAGAGGCCCTGTGTGCAAAGCCAGGATGCCACCCAGGTCCACGCCTGCTGCTACTGCGACCCAGTCCTCCCAGAGGGGGCGAGGTCCTCCGGGCGGGAGTCTGCGCTCTCTGACGTCAGACATCCCTGGAGGACGGCTGACATCCCTGGAGGACAGGACGGCTGACTTTAGAGCTGAGGCTTCTGATCAACAAACCCCTTTCCCAACCGGGCAACCTTCCTCCTCCCTGCCTGGAGGCCACGCCGCTCTGACTGGCCTGGTCTCCATGCCACACCCTCTGAGCCCCCCTGGGGCTTTTGGGGTGGGAGCACCAGTGAAGACCTCCCCCAGCCCTCCGTCCACCTCTTTTAAGGAGCAAGTCTGATGGATACATTAGGCTGTGCAGGCACCGGGCCAATCATGCTGAGAAAGCCGACCGAGTGTGGACGAAGAGGGAGGGAGAACAGCTCCTCAGCCCTGTGCACTCCCCCCTGGAATGAGAGCCGAGGGTGGGAACCTGGAGGGGGGATGCCCACAGGCCTCGGAGCTAGGGAGGGGCCCGCTCTACTGTCATTGGGGGAAAGCTGTTCAGTGACCACAGGAGAGGTACTGTGCTCTGGGAGGAATATTGAGGACCTGAGACGCAATGACCTGCAAGATCTGTCCTTTAGGTGGTTCTCACGGAGCAGGTGTGGCCTGGGCCTCTGAGAGCCGGGCCTGGTGAAAGCAGGGTCCCGGGCCCACGAGGGTAGGCTAGGGCTGCTCCTGCAGAGCCCACCAGCTCCCAAAGGGCCCAGGGCACTGAGCCGAGCCCCCCCCGCTGGGCAGTGCCCTCGGTGAGCTGCCCGTGGGTGGACTTATCTTGCTGGTCAGAGAGGAAGCTGCCCAGGACAGGCCTCCACTGAGACAGGGTGGGGCAGCACAGGGGGGATGGTCAGACCGGTCCGGCCAGGTGACCTCAGGGAAGTCACTTCCTCTCTCAGGTCTCAGTTTCCCCATTTGTAAAAGAAAGGCATCCTGGGAGTCCGAGTCTTCGCACCTTTGAGAACTGGATCCCAATCGCCTTTGCGGAAGCGTGCTGCCCCTGGAAGGGGTTAAGAGAAGGAAGGTCCCGCTTTTGACAGGAAAGCAGCTAATTTCCTACGGAGCCATCGCTGCCTGCCACCCCAGCATCACTTCAAACGGCTCCTCCCCTCCTCCCCCTCACACACCACAAACCTCCCAGAAAGAAGGACGCAGATGAAACTCCCCAGGTGCTGGAGGAAGGTCACTACCCCCAAAGGCCACCTCAACTCTCCTGCGCTGGCCAGACCCCACCTGGGGGGAGTCCCATGTGCTGGGCTCCTCCCTGTGCAGGCGGCCGGTCCTCCCACAGCCGCGAAACACTGGCACCTCATCCTCGTACGAGAGAGACTCAGAGGAGACATCAGTCGCCGAAGCAGGGAGGGGGCAGCTTCAAATACAAGACAGGACAGAGCTACGGCGGGCAGCGGGCGAAACTGCCAGAGAGATGACTTGGAGGAGGAGACGCAGGTCTGAGGGATGAGGCAGAGAGGGCACCGGTGTCCTAAGTAACCACAGCATGAGGCCCTGCCTTCTACAGTCCGAGCTGCCCGAGAAGGACCGGGCGGGCTGTGGTCGCTGTGGGTCCCTCCTCACCCCAAGCGGCTCAAGCAAGGGCTGCACAGCACCGGGAGGCGGGAGCAGGCCCAGGGCAGAGGGCAGCTCTATGGAGGCTTTGGGGTGGCACCATGGAGTGACGTCCCCCCACCCCGGAGAACCCCTGGCTGACATCGGGGCACGGCAGCAGTCACTAGAGCCCAAGGTCTGGCACCAGACCCGGCCACCTGTTAGCCGCCCTGGCATTAGAGCTGCCTTGGAGAGCAGGTTCAGGCTGGGCTGGCACAGTCGCCGGGCCTGTCCTAAGAGGAGGGGCTCCCTGTGGCCGCAGGTGAGGCGGAGGGCAGGGACCTCTGCTCCACCTCACGCCCAACTTGCAGGCACCGCTGGCCCTTCGCTTTGCCCCCCCCCCCCCCATCCCCCCTGCCGGTACCCCAGTCCTGAGTGACCCAGGGCCACTGCAAAACCTAGGACCAGTGTCTGAGACCAAGCCATGTGAGCGTGAAGTCACCCCAACATAGACACAATGGCCAACCTGGCAGCTGGCAGACTCCTCCCGTGCCCAGCTCTACTGAGCAGCTCCCAGCAGGGCCTCAGGCTCAGTCATCACCAGCTTCTCTCCCCCCGGGCAGTGCCAGCTGCAGGGGGCTGGGGGCCACCACTGAGCAGGGGGCCATGGGCTCCCTCCCTCCTGAGCCACCAGGGGTGGAGCGAGAGGGTGAGACCTGACAAACTCGTTCTGCGGGCACAGGGAGCGGGAGGGTGGATTCTCGGAGCCGCCTCCCATGGAGACTCAGGTGCTCTCTCTGCAGCAGAGCCGCCAGGACGGGAGCTGACCAGCATGGGGGCCACCGACTTCGTGCAGGAGATGCGCTGGGTGGGTGAGAGGCTGCTGCTCAAGCGACCACGGTGCTGGCCGGAGGGCCGGCGGAGTAGGGGAGACCACGGTGCTGGCCGGAGGGCCGGCGGAGTAGGGGAGACCACGGTGCTGGCCGGAGGGCCGGCGGAGTAGGGGAGACCACGGTGCTGGCCGGAGGGCCGGCGGAGTAGGGGAGACCACGGTGCTGGCCGGAGGGCTGGCGGAGTGGCTCGGTGTCTCCCAGGCAGAGGAGGGGAAACAGATGTCTCTTGGGGGACATGCCTCAAGGGATGGGCTGGGTGGTGCTGGGACCAGAGGCACCCAGCATCCTGCCCCAGGGATGGAGGGACCCGAGCTCCGGGAGGCGGAGGAGGCACCACAGGGAGGAGGTCCTCGGGTATTTCTGCCCAGCGTGCCCGGCTGCGGGCAGAGGCCCTCCACACCTCCAGGGGGCTTCTTGGGAAGAGGGGGGCGTTCCTTCTCTTCCCACCTCACAGTTCTGTGCCCTCTGCCTCTCCCCGACCCTCCAGGCACCGTGCTGCTGCTGCTGCTGGTCGCCTGTAGCTGCTGCTGCACCCAGTGCTGCTGCCCCGAGCCCAGGGCCAGGAAGGCCCAGGTGCGGCCCGTGTCCCCCCCATGAGGACGGAGGGCTGACCGAGAAGCTGGAGAGGAGACGGTGACGCCACGCCCGGGCGTCGGCCTGGCCCCCCAGCCCTGACTCCTCGGGACCAAGTCCACTGTCACAGCTCTGGCCCCGCCCAGGAACCGGACACGGCACGTGGGGGCTTGTCCAGGAAACAAGGGCCGTTGTGGTCACAGGACCTCCACCTGCCGAGAGCGCGGGGCCGAGGAGGAGCCACCGTTTCGAGCACAGAGTAAACCGCCGGGGATCTTGGCCTGCCCGCACTTTCTAACAAAAAGCAGGGTCCCCAAACCTCGACGGGGAACAGCCCGCACCCGGGGGAGCTGGCCTTGGGTTCTGCTGACCACGCCAAAGAGGAGCTGCCCAGTCGCGGGGACTTAGTGCAAGAGCCCTGGGCCCACGTTCCCCACCGCCCAGTGTCTGCCTGTTTCTTTCCAGTAAAAGCTTTTTCGTTCTATGTCTCTGGGCATCAGGCTCGCTGGGCGGGGCTCTGCATGAGCAGCGCCACGTGCCCGAGGACCAGGGGCGTGACCAGCGCGCCCTGCGCCGTGAGAGCTGGCGGCCCAGCCGCGCGGGCGGGAATGCTGGGAATCAG